AAAAAAAAAAATAAATGTAAATGGATTAAATTCTCCAATGAAAAGAGAGAGATCGGCAGAATGGATAAAAACACATAATGCAACTACATGCTGTCTGCAAGAAACTCACTTTGGATCCAAAGACACAGGTAGATTGAAAGGGAAAGGATGGGAAAAGATACTCCATGCAAATAGTAACCCACAGAGTACAGGTGGGTGTACTAATATAAGACAAAGTAGACTTTAAATCAGAAAATGTTACAAGAGACAAAGGAGGACATTATACATATTAATAAAAGGTTCAGTACAGCTAAAAGGTATAACAGTTATAAACATTTATGCACCTAATGACAGACCATCAAAATATGAAGGAAAAACTGACAGAATTGAAGGGAAAAATAGACAGTTCTATATTAACAGTTGGAAACTTCAGTACCCCACTCTCAATAATGGCTAGAACAACCAAACGGAAGATAAGTTAGGAAAGAGAGAACTTAAACAACACAGTAAACCAACCAGGTCTAACAGTTATATACAGAACACCCAACAACAACAGTATACACATTCTTCTCAGTGCGCATGGGACATATTTCAGGATACACCATAAGTTAGGCCACAAATTAAGTCTCAATATATTTAAAAAGCTAGATATCACGCAGAGTATCTTCATTCTATGAAGGCAGCTTCACCCTGATATCAAAGCCATAAAAAGACACTACAGGAAAACTACAGACCGATATCCCCTATGATCATTCATGCAAAAATCCTTGGCAAAATACTAGCAAACCAAATTCAGAGCATATCATAAGGATTATACACCATGACCAAGTTGGATTTATCCAGGCATACAAGGATGGTTCACCATACAAAAAATCAACCAGTGCAATACACCACATTAACAGAATGAAGGACAAAGCCACATGATCATCCCAGTTTATGCAGAAAATGCATTTGACAAGATTCAACACCCTTTCATGATAAAAACTCTCAACAAACTAGGAACAGAAGGAAATTATCTCATAAAAGTCATATATGAAAAACCCACAGCAAATATCATATTCAATGGTGAAATACTGAAAGCTTTTCTTCTAAGATGAGAAACAAGGCAAGGATGCCTGCTTTCATCTCTTCTATTAGCCAGAGCAGTTAGGCAAGGAAAGGAAATAAAAGACATCCAAATTAGAAAGAAGCAAAATTATCTCTGTTTGCAGATGACGTGATCTTACATGTAGAAAACCCTCAAGATTCCACATAGAAAAACTGTTAGAACTGGTAAACAAATCCAGCAAAGTTGCAGGATACAAAATCAACATGTAAAAGTTAGTTGTGTTTCTGTATACTAACAGTGAACAATCTGAAAAGGAAATTAAGAAAATAGTTTCATTAACAACAGCATCAAAAAGAATAAAATACTTAGGAGTAAACCTAACCAAAGAGGTGAACAACTTTTACACTGAAAACTACAAAACTGCTGAAAGAAAATAAAGAAGACATAAATAAATGGTAAGACATGTCATGTTCATGGATTGGAAGACTTAATATTGTTAAGAAGTCAATACTACCCAAAGCAATCCACAGATTCAATGCAATGCCTATCAAAATCCTAACAGCATTTTTTGGAGAAATAGAAAAACCCATCCTAAAAGTCATATGGAATCTCAAAGACCCTGAATGGCCAAAACAATTTTGAAAAAGAAGAACAAAGTTGGAGTACTCATACTTCTTGATTTTAGAACGTATTACAAAGCTATAGTAATCAAACAATGTGGTACTCTCGTAAAGACAGACATATAGACATATGGAATAGAATGGAGAACCCAGAAATAAAACTTTGTGAATATGGTCAAGTGATGTTTATCAAGGGTGCTAAAACTATTCAATGGGGAAAGGATAGTCTCTTTAATAAGTGGTGTTGGGAAAACTGGATATTCACATGCAAAAGAATGAAGTTGGACCCTTAGCAAAAACCATAACAAAAATTAACTCAAAATAGATCAAAGATCTAAATATAAGACCCAAAAATATTAAACTTTTAGGAGAAAACATAGGGGGAAAGCTTTGTGACATTGGATTTGGCATTGATTTCTCTGATATGACACCAAAGGCACAGGCAAAAATAGACAATTGGGACTACATCAAAGTTAAAAACTTATGTGCATCAAAGGACACAATCAGGAATGAAAAGGCAATCTATGGAATGGGGGAAAATATTTTTAAATCATATATCTGATAAGGAGTTAATATCCAGAGTATGTAAAGAACTCCTACGACTCAACAACAACAAAAATAACCTGATTTTTTAAAGGGCGGAGGACTTGAATAGACTTTTCTCCAAAGATGATATACAAATGATCAAGAAGCATATGAAAAGTTCCTCAACATCACTAATCATTAGAGAAAACACAATGAGATATCACCTCACACCCATCAGGATGGCTACTATAAAAAAATTAATTTTTAAACAGAAAATAAGTAGTGGCAAGGATGTGGAGAAATTACAACCCTTGTCCACTGTGGGTAGGATTGTAAAATGGTGCAATCACTATTGAAAACTGTATGGTGGTTCCTCAGAAAATTAAAAATAGAGTTATTATATGATCCATCAATCCCACTTCTGGGTATACATGCAAAAGAATTAAAAGCGGGGTCTTGAAGAGATATTTGCACACCCATGTTCATAGCAGTATTATTCACAATAGCCAAGAGGTGGAAGCAACCCAAGTGTCTATCAGCAGATGACTGGCTAAACAAAATTGTATATATTTATAGAATTGAATATTAATTCTCCTTTGACTAGGGAGGAAATCCTCTCATATGCTACAACATGGATGGTAGCATAATGAGGACATTATACTAAGGGAAATAAACCAGTCACAAAAAGACAAATACTGTATAATTTGACTTATATGAGGTATCTATAATAATCAGATTCATAGAAACATCAAATAGAATGTTGGTTACCAGGGACAAGGGAGAGGGAGAAATGGGGAGTTAATGTTCAGTGTTCATAGAGTTTCAGTTTTGCAAGATGGAAAAGTTCTGAGGATCTGTTGCACAACAATGTGAATATACTTAACACTACTGAACTGTACACTTAAAAGATAGTTAGGATGGTAAATTTTATGTTATAGGGTTTTTACCACAATTAAAATTTTTTTGAAAAAGAAAAAAAGACAATAACAAATGTTGGCAAGAATGTGGAGATACAGGAAATTTTCATACATTGCTGATGGGAATGTAAATGGTAAGGCCACTTTGGAAAACAGTTTGGCAGTTTCTTTAAAAAATTAAACAAACTTATCATATGACCAGCTATTTCACTTCCAGATATCAACCCAAGGAAAGAAAACATATGTCTACCAAAGACTTGCATGTGAATGTTAATAGCAGCATTATTCATCATAGCCAAAAAATGGAAACAAGCCAAATGTCCATCAGCTGTTGAATGGATAAACAAATTGTGCTATATCCATACATGGGAATACTTATTCAGTAATAAAAAGTAATGAGCTATTGATATGTGCTATGACATGGATGAACCTCAAAAAACATTAAGCTAAGTAAAAGGAAACCACACATATAAGATCACATGCCGTATACTTCTATGTATATGAAATGTCCAGAAAGGCAAATCGGTGGAGCCAGAAAGTAGATGAGTGGTTGCCTGGAGCAGGGTGTGGGAATGGGAATTAACTATAAACAGGCGTGAGGGATCTTATTTCAGTGATGAAGGTGTTCTAAAAATTGGTTATGGTGATGAGTTGCCTAACTTGATAAATGTATGATATATTGAATTATATATTTAAAATGGGTGAATTTTATGGTTTCTCAATAAAGCTGTTTTTAAAAATACAAAAAAAAAGCAATTTGGGAAAGAAGGGTATTCTCAAGATTCGACACCATTCTTGAGGAGTTGAAAGAAGTAAAGTGATAATGGCAGGCAATGGTGGGAGAAACTTTAAGAAAATCTTTAAAAAAGAAACTGTAAGAAAATGAAAATCTTCAGAAGAAAGGAATGATTTTCTTAGTATACTACATGGATTTCCAGTATAGTAAATAATTTTAACGTAGTCCTCATGTTCGTAAACACTATTTAGTTATAATGTTTAGAATCAATTTATATACAAAGCATAAAAGACAATTTTATTAGCCTTGACAATAGAAAATGGAAAAGTATGGAAGATAAAGGTTGGGAGATGCAAAGGGATAGCATCTCTGAGAAGAGTAGGGCTGTTATAACATCCTTTCTTACAAAGTGAGGAATCAAGAGATACTCTCTCTAGATGATGGAACATAAATTGAGATACAGTTATTTTGGGAAGAGGAGAAGTGGAAAAGTGGCATAAATGAGTTAAATCCTCATCTAGCATAGCATAAACCAATAGGTAATATCTAAAGTTGATAAATCAAGAAAGAGTGAAAAGAGCATTTTTTTTTAGAGATGTTTAGGGTGACCTTCAGAAGAAAAAGTTAAAAATTATTCCCTCTAGGGTACTGGAGGGGACATGTGGTAGTGGAGAGTGGTACCAGTGGAGGCTTTCTTTCATCATAAATCTAGCACAAGTACTTGATTTTTAAAAATCATTTTTATCAATTAATAAGGATTAGAGAAAAAATATACACATTCGGAAGAAAAAGATATCCCATCCCCACATCCTCCCAAACAAGAAAGAAGGAAATGGTACATGCTTAGAATTGTCATTCTTTTTCCTGCTGACTAAACCATACCCTGGTCCAGGAGTTTTATGTTCCCAGAGGGTATGCCTACCCTCTGGTGTTTGAAAGTTCCCACAGAATCCAGAAATGGTTTGGCGCCTTTCATTCTTTAAGTTTCAAAGCCTGAGCTCCTGGGCCTGGATCCCAGCATTTGTCTCCCAGTAAAGGGAAACCAACAAACTGTGCATGCCTGCCTGCTGAGTGACAGGTCCTTACACTGGCTTTGGTAGGGTTAGAGTTATCCCCACGTAGATCACAAGGACGCGAGACTCAGAAGGGGTAAGTTAAGTAAGGGATGGAGCTGGGTTTAGTTTTAAACTAAACAAACTAAACAAACAAAGATAAATAAATATGGTCTGTGTGCCACCGTAGCCCATGCTCTTTACCTGTGTCAGTTTGCACTTTAATCAGTAAGATCATTTCACCTGTAAAAGAAAACCCCATTCAGACTTGCTAAACAATGAGGATATGCATCAGCTCACGTTGCTGGAAGTTCACCCAGTGGGGTGGTCATCATGGTTGCTTGATCTAGCAGCTCAGCAGAGTCATTTACGAACCAATTTCTATCTCTCTGATCTGATATCCACAGTTTTGGGTTTATCCTGAGACTAATAGTCAGGTTCAGTGAGAGAGACTGACTTCCTATGGCTGTCTCTTAAAATCAGAAAGTCTACAATTCTGAGCCTCCAGGCTCTAGGATTGCCCAGTTTGCCCTCTTTTGTAATGACCTAGACTGCCTTCTCTCTCCGAGGAGCCTCTCTTTTAGGTACAGGCACACTTGTTGACTCGTGACTTTCCCTTGGACTTAGTATTTATGAGAGCCCAATGCTCACTATCATCCAGGAGATGAAGAGGAAATACTTACTTCTCATTTTTTCTCTCCCAGGGGCAAAATCTGCCTGGGCGAGTCCTTTTTCTGCGTTATGTGGTCCAGACGCTGGAAGATGACTTCCAGCAGACCCTGAGGAAGCAACGACAGCACCTGCAGCAATCCATTGCAAGCACTGTGCTGTCCTGTGATAAGCAGCCCCACAATGTCAGGTAACCAGCCGCCGGAGCCCTGGGATGACAAGAGGTCGGGGCTGTAGGTAGGCAGCTACTCAAGGCCGGAGAACATCGGGTGGATGCGATTTTCTAGTCACCAGACAGTGTAACAGGAATAGGTATTAGACTAGAGACAATCCTAAATCCCCTCTGTACTAACTATGTGTCGGCACCATAGCTTGTGTGGTTTTTCTCTCAAGACCCTCAGACTTCCTTTAATCTATTTCACTATTGTCCAGACAACCTCATGAGATCCAGGGGGAAACCTTAACTGTGTAAAACTTTTCACAGCTTTTATAAACCTAGATGTATTTCCATCCCCCTGAGTAACTTGAGATAAATCTCATTTGTCGCTACCACTTTCTGAAAAGTAATACATATTATGATAATAGGTCATGTGGCTGACAGTAGGTACAATCTGGTAGCAAGCATGTGTTCTTTTTCTGTTGAATCACGGCCAGAACTTCTAGAAGTGTCAGAGTGGGGAACTACCATATCCTATGCCAAGGGGGAAAAATGTGATTTCTAGGTTGGGCATCTCAGGCTGGAATTTTCCTCCTGGAACTACAATGCTTGCCTTTTTTAGAAGTGGTTTTCACAGGCTAGCATACCAGCATATCTTTTTTCAGAGCATCATTGAAATTCTTCCACTCATATTTACATTCCTATATGTTCTTGCATATTTGTTAAGAATAGTTTTTACAGGCCAATATTGGATATTGACTATCATAACTCCCCTAATTTAAAAAAAAAGAAGGAAGTTTTATTATGCTTTAAGCATCAGGCAGCTTTTTCCTCTTTAGTTTGCATGCCCATATCCACTGCCCTAGATGTGGCATTTTATGTAAAGTTTAAATGTTAATCAGTATAGGGGAAGGAAATCAGTAAGTAGATAATCTACAAAGAGCACAGAATAGCATAGTTGGGTTTTAAATTAAAAAATAAATAGAGCAACTCTACCGACCATTTTGCTTTGTAAACATAGGCACTGGATTGAATGGGAGATGGGAGACATGAACCCGCTCAGTCCAATGTCAAGTCAGTCACTTTCATTTCCACGTCTCATGGGTGAGCCTCTCACTGTACAGAGTGTGATTCTTGGGTTGAAAGGTAGGCATTGGTGGCCTCTAAATGCAAACTACGTCCTCCATTTTGTACTTTATCAATGAAAAATATCATCTGTTTCAGATGGAGGGAAAACCAGCTGTCTTTGATTCAGTAAAAGATGGATATTAGATTGATGCATACACACAAATGTATGCATATATTTATCAAAACTCATCAAACAAAAACCTGTGTACAATTTATTGTATATAAATTATACCTCAAAGATAAGTTTTTAGAAAGAAAGAGAGATGGTAATATGACGTCTTCTTAAGGGATTTTCTTTTCCTTTTTAACTTTGCATACAAAGAGTAGACTAGTTCTACAACATCTAAGAAATACACTAGTCCCCAGGTCCCCTCACCCGGATTTCCCTTTCCCACAGGCGTAACTACTTTCAACTCTTATTTAAGTGATTCTTTGGATATTTGCCTCTGTATGGCTAAATAGCATGCTTGTGTTGCTAATTCCTGACTTTTTCATTATTAGCTAATATTTTTGACATCCCACATGCAAGATGAGGAGTTAGTTCTTTTTCCTCCCCACCTCCTCCCTCACACACACACATTTCCCAGCCTCCATACCATTTAATATAGTTATATCAAGGGCCGGTCTGGTGGCGCAGCAGTTAAGTGCGCACGCTCTGTTTCGCGGTCCAGGGTTCGCCGGTTCGGATCCTGGGCGCGCACCAACACACTGCTTGTCAAGCCATGCTGTGGTGGTGTCCCACATAAAGTAGAGGAAGATGGGCACAGATGTTAGCCCAGGGCCGGTCTTC